GAATTGTTCATGGTTTCATTGATATTCAACGGTCTGCGCAACCTCATAATAAATCGGTTTACATAATTTCTTTCAACTTGTGCACACTCAGTATCCCTTAGTATATCAAATATCAACTCAATAGTATGAGTAATTCAAAAAGTTAGTCGTATTGAATGTTGAGCATACATGCGTTTGCAAATAAGCAAATAAACAAGCTTCAAATCAACGGCATTCACTTTCTTGTTTCATGTAGCCGTTACGTTTTCCAACTACTTGGTCTGCCAACAATAAGGATCAAGACCACTGTACAATCTATTCGTCCAAGATTTCTACGCAGTTCCCTGCACTTAAATGGTTGACATGACGAATCGTGACTTTATCCAGGCTAGCAAAACAAGTAACAAAAATTACCACAAGTGATCAAACTACTAGAACTAACAAATTCAACTTCCTGAATGAGTACTTTATAGCTAAGAGATCCGTGGAAAACTTGACAATCGACAGTACATATGCACAGATATCGAAAAAAAGTAAGTGAAGTACATCTGCTTAGGATTCGGCTATAAAAAGTAACAATACAAATGAGAAAAAAAGTTATACCATATATATATAGTGAGATTGACAAAATCCGTGAATGTGTTCATCGACTTTACGTTAAAATCTGAAAACGGGAGAAATGAACTGGGATAGACAGATGATGAAACTCGGGGAATTTCCCACCAATCACAAATTTACTCGGGGAACACACAGCTCAGTGCAATTTCCCATCACAATTATACGTAAACATAATCAAGTTTCTTCAGTTTATCTTGTATCTAATATGTATATTCACATACTGAAGTTTGTTTCCAGAATACCGACGTATACCGAGTGACGGCGTCACTAGTAAGGGTCAGTTTGTTGACTGTTAAGCCGGGTCTGGTGTCTGAGCAGGACCTCTTCTGCTCTGACTTGGTCGTTCGAAACAGGCTGTTTCAACTAAATAATCTAGTTACAAATTCGATTCAGATGGTTCTTTATCCGAATATAGTCACCTATAGCGGATATGGTTTATATGTTGTGTTAGTTATTTACATCACAAATAAGTCTTGAACAAATCGTCACCTACTATTTTTACGATGACATACGTTACCCAGGTAGGCCAATATTGTCAAACATTTCTTACATACACCGGCAACTCATTAGAAAACCAACGTTCAATTCTCAGTACCTTGGGTTGATGATCTCGTCTTTTTCATCATGGCTACATGCTATCAACTGAATTCCGAGTCTTCGTTTTGAACATTGACTGAACTGAAAAGGCACTGTTAGGTGAGGCCACATTTGGGGTTATTTCACGTACTCTCAAGAAAATCTGGATGACCTCCTCTATTGTGAACTTCCCTTGCAGTTCCATAAGGGATGGCTTTAAGACATCGACAAGACGTTCACCTTGACAGTTTGACTGCGGATAGCAGTATGGCGATGGAATATGTCTGACTGCGTTCTTCAAGCAAAAGTTCAAGATTACTGACGAAAACTGAGGTCCACCGTTTTTATCTAGTGTTTTTGAAGAACCTAACTGACCACTTAATCGTCCAGAAAATTCCACATTGACACAAAATCTTGGCTCTACGGCACCTGGACACGGCGATGGCTGTACTTCCATTCCTGTGGCTTGTGCACTTTGTGGACATTTCCTCACGATGCTTTCAATGTTCTTATACATCGACAGCCTATATGTGTATCTGCGTGTCAATGACTTCATACTCTGCACCAGAAGGGAGTTGTTTAACTACCTGAGATTCAAGAGTGGTCAGAATAACTAGGCGTTCCCCAAACACATTGCGTCGTCGAAAGTATTATATTAAATCATTATAGACTTTGTTTAGTCAACCGTCATCCAATTACTTCTAGATCTGCTGACTTTCATAATCCATTAGCATAGCATCCCGAATCATATTCATCATTACTGGTAAAACGTAGATCGCACCTGAAAAAACAGGTTTTAATTCTGCCTCGAATGATACTGTCAAAAGGACACGATTCTCATCGATTAATTAATATAAGTTGATTAATCTTTTGTCGTTATCACCAGATACTGTCGTGAAGAGCGGTGTTTGAAATCTGAAAGTGGTACACGATGTGCTACGCGCCAACCCGAAAATAATTATTTGACCGACAGCAATAGTGGACGACAGTGTATGCAAAACCAGCAAAAAGGTTTATATATATATATATATATATATATATATATATATATATATATATATATATATATATATATATATATATATATATATATATATATATATATATATATATATATATATATATAATTCTATTCGTAAGCTAAACAATCCATTACTTACCAAATGAAATGCAGTTTACTTTCAGGTCAAATTTCATTACTACTGATTGATCTTCCCAGCAGGCTAAATCTGATTGGCTTGCCATATCAGTAACATAACGTTTTTGGACAAATGATAACAATGTCAGCACCCATACCTTTCAAACGCATCTTAATTAGGCATATATATATGTACATATAGCGGTTAACGAATTGAGTAAATGTGTTCATTAGGTTTACATTGAAATTTATGAAACGGAAGAGGTAGATTTACATAAAGAACAACAGTGTAGCATAGGGGAATTCACAATTATAACAAGATAATTTGCGAAATCTACAGGTTACTTCGCTGTACAAAATATAACTTGCTTCAGCAACGTGAACATAGTTGATGAGAGAGACATGTGGAATATGATTATCCTGTGGATGAAAAAGTGTAATACGATATTTCTGATAAAATGGATGTGAATCAGACTGAAGTGACGTTGTTAAACATCTGATCTAATTTAGTCACGTATTCACAATATGTTTGCAAACTACCTACAATGTCCAACAAACTGAAAAAAAATAGAGACTGCACAGGAAAGCTTGGAACATTAGAGAATTCATGTGTTATCTTTGTGTTCGTCACTGGTACAACTCACAACCAGTGAGGAGAGAAATACTAAAGGTAAATGAAGTTTGGTTACACGATCGAATGATAACAACTCCAATTTTGTATCTTGCTACACATAGTCTTAGTGCTGGTTTCACCTCATATGTTATTCTTAACACCTTCCTCTTCATGGTGATCATCAGTAACTTGATTCACATTATTATACGACAAATATATGATGAATGGTCGACTTGACCATAATCGAGAATTCTTTTTGGGAGATTAAGGATGAGGATAGTATTGACTGTAAAATTCAAACTAAGGTTTGGGTTGACGAACAACTGTCTAGGCAATTTAGACACGCTCTATTGCCCAGTTGAAACCAAAACAAGGTAATTAGGTGAATGACGCTTCTAGATTTTATTATGAACATATATGTGCATTATTACCTAAACAAATATTACCACCCTGTTGCTCAACCAATAATTGTTCAGTCAATAATCAAATCTAAATTACAATAAGCAAACAAGTTGATAAAGAATGTAAGAGAATTACCAAGCGCAACAAATAAACGTTTTTTATCCTTTCCGGATGGATCACGTACGGATTCGTTCGCAAGATAATATTTGAATGCGTTAAAACATAGTGTTTCCAATTCTAGAAGACTGCTTCAATCCATAATCAAAAACGCACAATTCCAGTCAATGCAAGCAACACAATCAAAAGGAAACAAATCAGCGTGACTGCTGCCAAGACTAAGTATCAACTAAAACAACATAAATTTAGATCATACATTGAATTATTTATTTTTCATTTCACACTGAATAACTTTTTAGACAGGTAGATGGAACACTTTAACAGGTTCATGGATTACTGAGAATTTCCGTACCCTTTGTACTATTATTATTATTATTAAATAAATAAATAAATTGTTAATGAACTACAGCGGTTTTCCAAATCGTCTATCAGGTGACAATAATTCATTGTGATTACTTCACTCTAGTCCTAACACCTTACACTTACCTCTTATGGTTGTACAGTTTACTTTAACTGTTCACCAACAGATTGTCAAGCAAAACTGGACTGAATTAGCGTTGAAAAGAGACCCAATGACCTACACGGGATTTTTTCTTTGTTCCGTTGTGTGAATAAAAAATAGTCAGTAACTGTAACAAATGAAACAGTAAAATGAAGACCTCATTGTTTTTTGAGGTAAGTGAAATCAACTGTACTAATCAAACTGTTGACTTATAAATATTAGAGCTTTATCAGATGGCCTCAAAAAACAAGATGAAGCCTTCTGAGGCTACAAACAAACCGGAGAGACTCCGTACAATTACAATCTGACAGAACCTTCTACAACATCAACGTGGGATACCATGATTTGACAATTGTATGACCTCCCTTAATGATGACAATGGTGGATGTGTCACTCAATTTTGTGGATTAGTTGAAGTTAGACATTAACACCATTAGGTGCTGGCCGGCTCATTTGTCTGGTGGTTAAACGCTCACGCGCAAGACTCAAAGGTCCTGTGTTCGAATCCCGCGAGGCGTGGTCTGGAATGAACGCACTGCTGAGGTGCCTCACAATAGGACGAGACAGACATCCAGTCCTTATAGGGTTTTCCATGGTGGTCTAGCTTCAAACTACTCATGATCCTAACTATTGGAATGTTGTTGTTGTTTTTCATTTGTTCTTTTGACCTTTTTTCTTTACATTTTGAAATATTTTCTGTCCGTAAGATTCTTTCTGTTAACTTCTTAGTTTCAATCAGATCTGTTTTTCATTGTTTTTTTTTAATTTTTCATTAATCCTATCGGATATTTATTCGCTAATTAAAGAAGGTTACTTTGAATAGTTATTTTTTCTCCTGCTATTTGTCCTTTCTAATTATCTAATTAGAATTAGGTGATCAATTTTTTTTTGGTGTTGTTGCTCTTATTGTCGTCGTCATCGTTGTTCTTGTTGTTATTCAATTAAATATCCAAGTTATTTTATTTTGTATTTTAATGATCAATATATATTTCATCCAAGTTTATAGTTCACTTATTCTATATATATATATTCATTACGTTTATTGTAGATAGAAAATGCTTTTAAGTCTACTGGTGATTATCTATTTGGTTAATAATTCACTATTGAAAATTTATGGAGATCATGTACCTTGTGATAAACTAAATCTTCAATCTAATAATGATCAAAAAACGATTATATGCAGTGATACATATTCAAAGGTAGGAAAATAGTAGTATTGTCTATACATATCAATAGTTTGATCATTATTATTATTCCCAAGTAATACGTTATAATCAACCTCTTCCAATTGTTGATATAACTTTTCGTCAAATCAATGATTATGTTGAAGTAAGTGATATATATATTGTAACAAGAGTATAATATCAATATGGATATGATTTTAGATTTTCAAACCATCCTTCATAATCAAATTTTATGGTATGCCCTATGAGAATATCTCTATAGGAATTGATGGTAAGTAAATTGATTTCAATTAGTCAATTTGGCTATTTACATGTAGGTTCATATAATCAATTTCATTCTATGTGTTTGATATCTCTGATTCTATTAAAAGTTGTTTATAGTTTCAGATTTCATAACAATATGGTTAAAATTTAACTTAGTTTATAAACATTTGAAAATTTGTCTATCATTTACAAAATAATAAAAATCAATTTATCTTGTTTTCAATGGTTAAGTTCATGAGTCAGTTGAAGTTAGATCACCATGGAAAACCTGGAAACGGCCGTTCAGTGGATTCCAGATTTTCCATGGTGGTCTAGCTTCAACTGACTCATGATCTTAACCATTGAAATTACTATAATATCCAAAAAACCCATCTGATATTTATCTTGTTTTATTTATTAAAAAGGCTTCATGACTTTAAAACATTCAAATGATGAATACCCTAAGATTGGGTTCATCACAATGCTTTTAATTCGTGGTGATACAAGATTTCAAGTAGAGATTGGAAATAATGGTGAGTCATTTCCATTTTTTTAAAATATATTTTACATGTTCAATTAAAATACCTGAGTTTGCAAATACAATAGAACCGTTAGAACATTAGGAATTATTTCGTTTTCTTCAACCTTTTTGTGTAATTCAGGATCAATTTAAGTTGATTGCTAATTACTGCTGTTACGTAAAATGTAAAGTAGGGCAGATATTAACTTTGAAATAATCAGAAACTACATGATGTAAGGCAATAAAAAGATCGAACCATTTTATTATCAATTTTAAAGTTACATATTTCGTAGTCACAGGATATAAGCTATTTTACTATAATATCACTTCTAGATTAATGTGGAGAATTTAAGTGATCACAGATCAGTAAGGCACTATAGGTTGGGTTCATGTAGTGAGTCGGTTTTTATTAGTGATGAAAAGTGAAGATTTGATCAATAACATTGTTTGTTTTTTACTTAGCTCATTCACCACTGTAGTTTTTGAGTTGCGGTAACGTATCAACTATTTATCAACCATTAGATATTCGAAACTTCCTTCGGTAACCATACTCGTATGTGTATGAAACGTGATGCCTTGTTCCTTCTAAATCAGGGAATTATTAATTGATAAAGATTGGTTGATTGGTCCTATGTGGTTTACCTAATCCAATACACTTTGACTGCTACCTCAATTCGAAGTATTTTTTAACTTCATTTCAGTCGACAGTATTGAGTTTCAGATAATTAACATAACTTTTCTGGAAAAATTGTTAACTAACTGTAGTTTGACAATCTGAAGGTCCTCCAAAACTAAAGTAAAAGTATCCAAACTTTACTTCAATAAAAACTTGATACTGCCTGTTTTGAGAGAACTATTAGGCTTTATTATTTTCCAGATGCTAGCGAGTGTCATTTGGACTTTAGATCCTAGAATCGGCATACCAGAATAACAGCTTTATCATCGTTTGGTTCAACTGATACATTGAATACACGAAGGAAATAGTTTTATTATTATCATTAGCGGCTTTATTTAATATTATATTTTTGGTACAATTAAGAATTCTCAGCATAAAGTATTTCAACAAGTTTGCCTTTCTGATTTCTTGATCTATCCTTACAATAAATATTGAGTGGTCGCTACTTAGATGTTAGCAGTTCAGGAATCAACATCTGAATAATGTATATCCTTTTCAAGGCATATTACCAGCATCCAGGATGTCTCTGATTGTGCTCTTTTGTAACTTGTACAGCAGAATGTCGTAAATTTTTCACAAACACACCAGAATAAGTTACGAGACTAATAGGCAGATAACTTGTTGAAATATCTAAATGGCAGTAACAGGTAGCTCAGATATTCAACCAGGTCGACACTTTATAATTACCTCGTTGAAGTCAGTTGCTTTGTTTTTGAATGCGATAGTGGAAATAATAACCCTTTGTGAAATTCATTCGTGCATATATATTTATATACTTAATCTATTTGCATTACTTCAGAGAAAGTCGTCGTTATCAAATTTGTGTCTGAGATATATAATGGTAATCATATTATGTATAGATTTTGTAATATATTTATTCAGTTATTTTAATTACATTCGATTTATTCGTTTAAACTATTCTGTTCTGTATACTGAAATGAGGAAATCATACTATCTCTTAATAGAAGTAAACCATCGTTTGTTAACTTCAGTAAAAACAGCGAAACATTCAAATCGGTTATTGTAAATAAAAAGGAATATGGATTCTAAGTGCATATACCACTTAACTATAGATATATCAAACCATGAATTTGGAAGTGGGATTTGATGAAAATGCAGTAAACAAGAACACGAATGGAGACAATCGAATGGATTTAACACAAACTTAGAGAGCATCTCACTTAAGTTTGAGAACTATGTAGTAAATCGTTAATTTGCAAAATATCAGTCAATCGTCTCAAAATTCACTGTTCCTTTTGCAAATATCAGTCTATTGTCTTAGATTTCATTATTCATGCATTTTCATATCAACTGTGTTCCGCTTCCGTTCTTTCCTTATCGATCTTCTGCTGAAATACGTTCAATGCCTGATTACTGTTATATACTACTTATATGGATATAAGTAACCCACATCACAAAAACACTATTTTTATAAGGAAACATGTTTGCATTAATGTATACAGTATTTATGTTCATTATATTAACAAAGTTAATTAAACGATTGGAAAATGTATATATTTATATAATGAGACCTTTTAACTGTTCTATGTGACAAAGCAATACATCATAGTTCATATTACAATGTCCGAATAATCTTGTACGGTGATAAATGATTCACAATTGATTGATCACTGGGTGGTGATCAATGTCATGTGTGTCAAGTCCTTCTTAGTGCAGATTGAATGCTATCGTTCAAGTTGCAATGTGGCCACCAGTCTAGGTCACTCAATACTGCGTGCACTATGTTGAGATAAGATGGTGGTTGGAGTTTCGGGCTACTTGGCACTTGTCAGCAAGGTGTAACTGTAATCTTGAGGGAACTGGTGCTCCCTGACAGATTTGATCCCGTGTCACCCAGCTTCATAGTCAGAGACGTTACCACTGATAACTGATTATTTCACAAATATGTATGAAATATATTCAGCGAATGATAATATAACTTGAACTAATAGATTCCCTACAAAGTCTGATAGGTTTTGGTTTTAATTGATAAACTAATACGTAATACAAATTGTTGGACTACGTATATTACTAACATAATAAGTGGAACATACCACAGAAAATGTTATGACATGTAATCATTTCACAAACAATCTATAGAGTATTACATTCAATATAATCACATAATCATGAATTTTCATACTCATAACATAAACCTTTAGTAATTTGCTTGTATACATTACAGTTAAAGCGAATTGTTATATTTATCGAAATGGGAAGATATCTTTTTACTACGAGAAGGTCAGTTTAATAATTGAATAAGCCATAAAGTTAATTCAAGTACATCAGTTTATCTTAATGTCTTTTGTATTACAAATTGTTATCCTTATCAAAATACATTACATATGATTTGAGTACATCATCAATTCTATAGTAAATGAACACTTTCAGTGACATACGATTTCCAATACAACACACTCAAGTAAACTAATGGTAGATTTAAACAATAACATATAGAAATAAAGAGAAAATCGTCTTATACTAAATTGAAGTATTCTATTATCTCTAGAAGCAAAGATGTGATGCTACAAGTTGTAAATCAGTGAACATTTAATAGTTATTATGAAACACTGATGCAGGATGTCAGATGTGTTCCTCCTTATATGAACCAGGCATTATTCTTCTGTTAAAAGTTTTCGAGCTATTCAATGATCAAAATGTCAACTACGTTTCAATGCATAATTAGTTAAACATAGTTGATTAGGTTGTTTTCCGTTCAAAACACCATCTCCATTTCCTAACTAGATAGCTTTTGTAAGTTAAGTAATTTCATTTATATCTCGCTGAATCTTTACTTGATGTTTCTGTTTGAAATGAAAAGGTAATTTCAATACTCTGTGAGTAGAACTAACTTCAATATATAAGATTGTATGTCTGCAGTCTCTAACACAAATTTCCACAATTCCTTTTCAGATACCTGATAACATTAAAGAAATTTTGTTATGGCCGATGATGAACAATGGATTATGGTGCAGTCATTCCAGTAAGGAACATTCAGAGTAGTTAAAGAAGATTTGTGATAACTGATAACAGAGTCTATTTTCTTGATCTATGGATGAGTGAGTTCGTACGAAATTCAACGAGCCATATTTCCAAACAACCGTGAAATGATGTGACTTATTCATAATCAACATCCAAGTACCACGACACTTTGTTTATTCGACTGATGACAACACAAAATGGAACAACTTAAATTGAGTAGATCAAACTGGACGATAGTATGTGATTGATCCGATGATCGTCAACATTTTGTTTGAAAAAAGACGATTTGGGCTATTCTGACGATATCAACTCTGTATCGATTTGCTTTTCTTCGTTAGATTCTGTTGTCATGTATTGTCATCAGAGGGTTTCACATTCTCTCGTCTGAGTCCTTCATGAAACAAGTCTCCCAGTTTATGCTCAACCAAAGAGAATAAGATAATCGACATCGTGTAGATAACTGCAGTGCAAATGGGTGAATGAATACGTACATAAGTCATGAGCACACATCTTTATACATATACATTATTGATTTAGCCCAGATCAGAACAAATAGGAAAAATTTTTGAAAATGTGAATATTCCATTCACTTATGATAGCCCGGCAGCCACCTGCATATCTTTCTTCAATTTGATTTGATCGTCACGGTCATGTCAGACAGACAGTCGGACATAATATTCACTATTCAAGATATTTATTTATTTATTTCACAACTCAGTATAATCTCAGCCAAACTACTTATCTATGCTAAGAGATATCTGTCTTACGAAACGGAATTTTGGCACTAGTGTTGGAGAATATACAGTAGTCAGATAATGCTGATTTAACTGTGTCTTGTTTAAACTCCGAACTCTGTCCATGAAAATCTTTTTCTACAGCATGTTTAGATAGCGAGTAGTGTTTCATCAATTATGTGTTAGACATACGATTTAGAAATGTAAGTTCTCGTCAAAAATGTATTGTTGAATCCGCATACTTTAAACATTAATAAAGACGATTATTGATATAAAATGTGAATTTATCTGTAATGATTTGAACATGATTGCATTAATATCTCACAGAAATCAAAAATTTAACAGAACTTTTTTTCATAATTACTAGCGCACCCTACTCCTATAAAAAAAGAATACAGCGTCATTTTAACTCATGAGTCCTTAATCGAAGATGGCACATTAGTGGAGTTCGAACCTATGTCAGGTGAGTTTGATATCATGATATAATCGATCCTCAGTCACACTAACCTCTTTCATATAAGACTCATTTGATTTATGTAGTTATGTCAGATGACTAAATGGCATCCATTCTTTTGGTTTAGTAGCAGTATTATTTCTTCTCATTCTAGGATATTTAAAATCATTTTGTGATGTCCTGCATAGTTGTTGAATGGTCCACTTCGATAAGATTTACTTCATCGGAATCTTACAAAACGGTGGATAAATTAATTAACTAGCAGCTAGTCGATAATTTTACGAAAATGACCAATTCTGTTCAGTTTTCACTGATTTTGTGTAGTATTGAATTTCCATGAGGTGTTGTGATCACAGAAGCATTCGATGTATTTCATAGTACCTTGGATCACAGACTGGACTCTAAAAACCTGTACTTTATCATATAGATAGAAGCCAATCATACTGAAGGAAATATCATATATCAAATTCGATAGATATTTTCATGATGTCAATATACTTGAAGAAACTAGTGTACCAAAGTAAAATGTAGTTAATGATGAGTATATGAATTGAGAAACTGAGAATACCATCCCATTCACAAGATAGTTACACGAATTTCGAAATTTCTATAATTATTACTTGGCATCAGAGTAAATGACATGCTCATTTATTGACAGCATGTTTGTTGAGATGCTCTTGAACCCTCTGTGGATAAAATATCCCATAAGGACTATAGTGTGTCGTTTCTTTATTCAATCTGGTGTGTGAAGTGACTACTCAAAAAACCTAGAATATGCTCATTGGGAATCATGCAGAAACAACTTCAAGCGAAAGTCGATATCACTTGAAATGCACTGTTCTATCACTAATATTTTGCGATTTGACTTCAAGTAGATCGTATGAATGATTGTTATTGTAATATATATGTCGCCTATCCTCGTATATAATCATCGACTTAAATCGCGTTAGTCAATAACGGAATTAAATAATTCAAATACGAGAACAAATTTCGAATACGTATATTCCATACAATCTTTGATCCAGATAAAATATCGGAGAAGCAAATGGAATAGAGCGAAGCAAAACAACGCTCAATGGAGATGGCGGATAAGCTAACTCCATGTAGTCAATCGTTAATCAATATTTGTAGTCACACAAAAATAAGTTAAAGACATGTAATGTGAATAGGATAAGAAGGGCACACACATATTCGGTCATACAAAAACAGTCAAGGTTGATAAGCGAATAATTAACAAGGTCAAAATGTGACTCAAGTAGAATGTATAGATTGGTCTGTCCGAAAGCTAGAATAAGATATATGGGCTTAACATAATAAGCCACACTACAGAATGTCTTGATAATTCAATCACATACTTACCATCAAAACGGGGAAATGTGAAATCAACGAGATTTTAACCATGGTATGATATGTTTCCTCTAGTTAAATCTGAAGTAGCAATAATGCATTAAATTTGGATGATTATTAAAAGTCAAACACTCGGTTGTCAAATGCATTAAGGATGTTCGACATTCAACGTAATGTTGTTTGTTTAAGTTATATTCACACTAATTATGGAGTTATTATATGGCTACAAATTCGCAGTATGACTAACCTCACACGAATCTAGTATTCCTAAACAAACCGATGAATGTGATTTCTTAAACTTTTGAAACAAACAATAACTCTTTATATCACAGCTTACCAACACCATCAACTGTAAATAATGTTTGCCAACATTAATAACAGCATGTATCTTCGAAGTACTAATAAACTTTTGCAAAGGCTTCACAACTGATGGGACTTAACGCACACCTTTCTTATATCATATACTGAGTTGAAGTCGAAGACAAATGATAACTCCAAATGAGTTGACTGACATAAGCTATTGTGAAGTCTGAGTAATTTTAAAAGATAAAGAATAAACTGAGTACAACAAATAAATCGGGATCACATTTTCTGTTTAAATTCACCATAACGTACAAAATTTGGTTCTTGTCACAAAAATTCTAACACACTCATCTCATTTTATTTGCAGACGTTTGCGACATACAAAATACTAAAGATTTATGCATAAATACAAATAGAGCTGAATCTCAGTGTTACTGGTGTTCAATGATTGAAAAATGCAGTAATGGCCGTGATTATCATGCAGATATATGGATGAAGAACGGTTGCGATGCAAATGTAGGTGATTTTGAATCATGAAAGGATGGCTTAGATAATTATAAGTTAAATAATGAAAATGGACACTGCAAATCGGAAATTTGATTTATACGAATAGAAATTGCTAGGCGCTTATATGGAAGCGATGAAATGAAAGTGTTGTATTGGTTGTGATTATTCAATCAAACACGAATGTAGTCTCATTCATGAAAACACTGAACAACACTGAATAATTGAATTGATGTTCCGTTCAACATGGGTTTTGTAAGGTAGTTGAATTCTTGTGCATTGTTGATGCACTCAACGACCAACTTGTAGTCAATGTAATGAATGATTGTTTGGTATGTTGATCACCATGTGAATGTGTAATTTCCGTTACATTTTACAGGATTCTGTTCGTTTACTGATACTCACAGCAATGTCGAATGAACAAACAATTCATTGTACACATTTGACATTTCATATTGCATTCATTGTATCATTTTTCAGAATATTTCTCAACCTCAACGTTCGCAAAATTTAACACCAAAGGGAATGAGAGAATCTTCTGTACAAACCACGACTGAGAATAATGTAAGTAGTTTTCAATCTGACACTTTGTTTCTAATGTTCATTTGTTTCAGACTGCCAATTTTCACATTCGATGAAACATTTATTGCCACTTGTATTTGTTGACAGGCGTTTGTTTGGAAGCGATGAAACGAAAGTGCTGTATTCGTTTCGATTATCTAATCAAATACGAGTGTAATCTCATATATGACAACACTGAACAAATAGCAGCAAGCAGTGAAACATGACTTGCATGATCCGAAATATCTGAGTTGATCACTTGATTGATTGTGCAGCCATTCGCAAGCGATGTGGATACCTTGGCTCTCACATGTGTACATCAGCCACATGGAGTATTATGAACAATGATGAGTTTTGAAAAGTGTAGAAATGTTGCGTTTTAGTGGTGAGTGGAGGTTGGGAAATTGTAAGCGTGTTTGTGAAATCGGTGAGGTCCAGTAATTTTGCGGTGATGATTTTCACGACCGCATCTAATCAGTCTATGTTGGCACTATACTCACTAGGAATTGATCATCGCTTCACTTACTCGTATTCCACAAATCTAGATGTTGGCGAACAGTGGAATGGACGTTCCATTCAACATGAGACTTGTAAGTTAGTTGAGTTCGTGTGCATTGTTGATGCACTCAACGACCAACTTGTAGTCAATGTAATGAATGATTGTTTGGTATGTTGATCACCATGTGAATGTGTAATTTCCGTTACATTTTACAGGATTCTGTTCGTTTACTGATACTCACAGCAATGTCGAATGAACAAACAATTCATTGTACACATTTGACATTTCACATTGCATGTATTGTTTCATTTTTCAGAACAATTCAGAACTGCGGTCTATTCAATATTATCACTACCACAACGACACACCAAACCTCAAAATTGTAGATATGTTATGACGTGAAAACCTAATCTATAAGATCTTACTTACTTACTTGCTTTACTTACGCCTGTTACTCCCATTGGAGCATAGGCCACCGACCAGCATTCTCAAACCCACTCTGTCCTGGGCCTTCTTTTCTAGTTCCATCCAATTCTTGTTCATTTTTTCTCATGTCTATCTCCATTTCCCGGCGTAATGTGTTCTTTGGTCTTCCTCTCCTCCTTTGACCTTGAGGATTCCATGTGAGGGCTTGTCTTGTGACGCAGTTGGGTGTTTTCCTCAATGTGTGTCCTATCCACTTCCAGCGCTTCTTCCTGATTTCTTCCTCCGCTGGGATCTGGTTTGTTCTTTCCCACAGTACGTTGTTGCTAATAGTGTCCGGCCAACGGATCTGAAGTATTTTGCGTAGACAATTGTTAATAAACACCTGTATTTTCTGGATGATGGCTTTCGTAGTTCTCCAGGTTTCTGCCCCATACAGTAGAACTGTCTTGACATTTGTATTGAAAATTCTGACCTTGGTGTTGGTTGACAGTTGCTTTGAGTTCCAGATGTTCCTCAGTTGTAAATATGCTGTTCTTGCTTTACCGATCCGCGCCTTCACATCTGCATCAGATCCACCCTGTTCATCAATGATGCTGCTCAAATACGTAAAAATGCACAAGTATTCAAACAATAAACCTTTATGTACAATGTTTTATTAATTACAATCTCTTAGTAACTAAATCTTCCACATATTTACGTTTGTCGGTTCTGATGCTCCTCTTCACTTGTTTGTTTACTTCTGTGTATTCAGCTTGTGCCTTGGCTTTTTCTGCTCTTGTTCGGCTGGTATTGATCGCTGTTTTCTTGTTCCTCCTTTCTTGAATCTTATTCAGTGTGTCAGTAGTGATCCATTCCTTGTGATGGTGCTTCTTATGGTCCAGGACCTCATGACATGTTGAAGTGATTGCCTCTTTGATCCCCTTCCAGTCGCTCTCCATAGTAGTTCATTCTCCATTGAGTAGATCATGAAAGGCCTGGAACTTATTGCTGAAGACTATCTTGAATTCGTTGGGTTTGTTAGTATCCTGAAGAAAGGCCGTATTGAACTTTTGTGATATTGTCCGCCCCGTTGTTCAGTAATTCTTGAGTTTCAATTTCATCTTGGCGATTAGCAATTGATGGTCTGAGGCTATATCAGCTCCTCTCTTGGTTCTCACGTCCTCTGTATTCCTCCCGAATGTTATGGCTTTAAGTTGGGTCGATTTTTACCCTGTGTTATCGATCGACTACAGTGACACGTAAACACGAACGGACGGCCTAGACTCTCGATTGGCCCCACTTCCCTGTCTAGCTCAGTTAGTTGAGTCCAGAACAAAAGTCACAACCTCTGAGATATGAATCATTATATTTCAAACATACTTTGTTTATATACCAATCAAGCATACCACATCGTACCATAAAATAGAAAACAACATTTTGTACAATATTCAACAAGTGAACAGATATCGACTAATAGAAAATGTCCATTTAAAGTCCAAGGACACCATTGGACTTAACATCATAATTATTGGTCTATTCCTCCGCATCCACAACACCGAACTTTTTGTTGATGCAGATATGGTCTATTTGGTTTTGTGTAGTGTGATCCGGTGAAGTCCATGTGGTTTTGTGTATGCGTTTATGTGGGAATATGGTGCTGCCTATGACCAGTTTATTGAAGGCACATAGTTTTGCAAATCTCTCACCATTTTCGTTCCTTTCTCTCAGTCCGTGTCGTCCCATGATGTCTTCATATCCAGTGTTGTCCGTTCCAGTCTTGGCATTGAAATCTCTCATCAGAATGGTCAGGTCCTTTGTTGGGCACTCCTCGATGATTGACTGTAGCCTATTTTAGAATTGATAAATATCGTCTTCATTGTAGTAGTTGGTAGTCGCATAGCATTGGATGACGTTCATTGAAATGCCCTCTTTCTTTGCTTTGAAGGAGGCCCTGATGACCCTTGGTGCATGAGATTCCCATCCTATAATGGCATTTTGTGCTTGTTTGGGCGGCATCAATGCAACTCCTTGTGTATGTGGGGCATTTTCTTCTTCACGGCCGGAGTATAACAGATACTCCCCTGAAGTTAGTCGTTGTTGTCCAACTTGCGTCCAATGTGTTTCACTGATCCCAAGCACCTCTGGGTTGTATCTCCTCATTTCCGCAGCAATTTGAAAGGCTCTCCCGGTGTCCAACATTGTACGAACATTCCATGTACCTAAATAAATGGTTGCTCTGGTATTCAGAAGGAACGTCAGCTTCGTAACTTCCGAAGGAATTCGGCTTTCATCATGAGGCATCATAGTTCTTCTAAATGAAGACCTTCTGACGCCCGGGGCAGAATTTAAAAGGTTTGAATAATTTTTTCTGGTTAGCGTTTTTTTAGCGAGTTAGTTTTCTACGAGATGGGGACGCTAACCCCATGCCCAACCCTCCTCCTTTATCCGGGCTTGGGACCGGCAGTAGCCGCCGGAGGGACTCCATGAGGAGTTATAGGATCTTACGTGGAAGTTGTCTCATTGTCTATCCTGATCCGTCGTACGTAACAATCAGGAATTTAATTTTTGGCGTTTCTGAAGAACACAGTGGTCCCATTCTGTATTTTTCGGTATGTTCTAGATAATATGTGCTGTTGCCTATTGCCAGTACCTAATTTAATCAGTCACCGAGGGAGCCCATTGACTTGTCATGACAGATAAGCAAGGAACAAAACTAACAGCGAGGTGTGACTTCGAATTGAAATTACGATGTCCGATTTTGATATGGAACAGCCGGCTCTAGTGTCAAAGAGACAACGAACCTTTGCCATAATATCAGTGATGTGTAACATATGGCGTTGACAGATGGCTACAGTTTTCGTAAATGCGTGTCGGTGGGATGTTATAATTGGTTTACTATTAGCCCATTTAGCTTACGAACTTCAGCAGAGTTTTCTCCTTGTACATTCTTTCTTTTACTCTCCGTAGTCGTTTTAGTTGTGATTTGGGGTTGAAGTAACTTTGGAATTTTCCATAAGTTGGTATGTATTGTTTAGCAGAAGTTGGTTCAAGTCACTTATTTCTCGTGGTCTTGGTGCAGATCTTAGAATCGAAAAGCCTCTTCAGGGAGTTTAGGAAAGCTTATCAGTGTGTTACGGAGACCTGTAATTTTATTCTGAATTTTCCGCGGTTATTTTTTGACAGAACAAACCTCAATGATGTATGATCTGGTTATTACCACAACCGGCTGCAGAATAAAGCTAGTTCATCAACTGCATTTTTCTTAAACGAAATAAGGAAAGCGTAAACCTACTGGGAAAACCTAGATAAGCGTAATCTAAATAGTGTGCGAGATTATGACCTACTTCGATATTAGTACTACTCTAATGATAGACTACATCATAAAATCATAAATTTGTCATGATGTAACTGTCTAGTCTATAAGATCTTACGTGGAAGTTACATTATTGTCTACACCAACTTATCGCATATCGACAGTCACAAATGTTTGATAGAGAACCAACTTAGGCTAGAGACAGGACAATATATTTATTATGGATAAGAGATAAAAAAACAACACTGAAGAGTA